GAAGAAAGGAGATTTCAAAGAACAAAAGGCAGATTGTCCATGTCAGCATTACTTTTCTTCTAAGGCAGGGACTGGGAGCCAGGATGAGGGAAAAGAGCAGGAAGGGAACATCGGGCTCTTTCAGGTTGTGTCTTTTGTGCAAGGATTGATTGGAGGGAGCATCATTCTCATCTCCATGGGATGGCTTGGGAGATTCTGCCTGTTCTCTCTCTAATGCTGATTTCTCAGGAGGTTAGATACGCAGCTTAGTTTCAGCTTGGTGATGTGGAACTTTAGTGCGAGCCACTCCATGCTGACTGTTAGGATGGTCCGTGGGGCCAGCTGCAGGAGCTTAGTAGAAAACAATGGCCCACTGTAACTGTCATTTAGCAATAAGGACTCACTCCCTGCGGAGGCCCTAGGAGAGGAGATGATCTCTTCTCTTTTCTTCTTCTCCTTTTTTTTTTTCCCCTTCTTTTGGTTATGATAAAACACACAAACACATAATTTACCACTTTAACAAATTTTAAGGGTACAGTTTAGAGGCATCAAGCACATTCACATGACTGGGCAAACATCTCCACCACGCATCTCTACGATTCTTATTTTTCCCCAAATGCAATTCTGTACTCATTAAAAAATACCTCCGTGTTCCTCTGCCCTCTGACAACTCCTAGTCAACTTTCTGTCTCTATGAATTTGACTGCTTCAAATTACTTTCATAAGAGGAATCATATGACATTTGTCTTTTAGGGCTTGGTTTATTTCCCTTGGCATTAGATTCATCTAGGTTGTGGCATACATCAGAGTTGCCTTCCTTTTCGCGGCTGAATAAGAATAGTCCTCTGTGTGTGTATACCACTTTGTTCATCCATTCATCTTTGATAGACACTTGGGTTGCTTGCACCTCGGACTATTGTGAACAGCACTGCTATGGTCATGTGATGGAGACCACTACAAAGCAGCCCTGGGCAGGACTTAAATTAACCAATGGGCTTGTGAGTCTGTCCAAGGTCTAGGCTCCTTGTCTGGAGATGGGCAGTGGACTCATAGTGAGTGAACCTCTGTGAGTCACTGGTCCCTGCTAAGGCCTGTAATGGTGGATGAAGCTGGAAAGCCTCAAAGGATAAGGCAAGATCATAGCCAAGGACACCTGGTTCTGATCTCAACTAGATAAAGACTGTAGCCTCTGGCATATCACTCCTGGGTGGATTAACTCAATAACTGACTTGGAGAAGTCCTTGCATGGTCCATCCTTCTTGAGTACTCCCCTCCCTTCTGATAACTAAATAAATATGGGCTGCCCAGAGATGGCCTTGGTCTTAGCCCTGAGAGAATGTCAAATTCTGTGAGAGGGCTTTGATCCTCCTAGAGCTCTGAAATCATTCCATTCCCCTCTTTTTATTTAGCCTTCACCATACACTCATTCAGAAGATTGCGGACCTGATCAGCCCACAATAACTAAGGGATAATATTAACTAGATAGCCATGGGTGTACAAAGAGCTCTCTGAGGCCCCACTTTCCATTCTTTTGAGTGTCCACCCAGAAGCAGGGGTGCTGGATCACAGGGGAGAATCTGTACACTTGCCTTTGTCATATTTGAGAGCTGTACTCCTGCCTTCCTTAGTTCATGGTCTCTTGCATTATCTTCTAAGCCAGAACCATAACATCTTGTGTTAGTGGCCATGTTGCCTCTTTTTCCTTCTCAAATTTCCCTGTGACTCCCTCTTATAAGGGCACACGAGGAGCTATAAGTATAACTTAGTAGTAGAATGCTTGCCTAGCAAGGCCCTGAGTTCAATCCCAGGTGGGAAAGTAGGAGGGAAGAAGGGAGGAAGGGGAGGAAAGGGGGGGCAGGCAGACAGACAGCTCAAGAGAGATACTACGACTCATGATTGCATTTAGGGCTAGCAGTATAATCTCCTCATCCCAAGATCCTGAATGTAATCACATGTGGTGAGTGTCTTTGCCAAAGAAGGAGGCATTCATAGGTTCCAGGGATTAAGATGTGGGTAACCTGGGGGTTACTCAGGCCCATACAAGCTAGCAGAAAAAAGTAAAAGGAAAACAGAAACATCACAAAGAGAAAGGCCTATACAATCTCATTGTCCCTAGAGATCACCACAGGAAATAATATGGTATATGTGATTTTCTAGATTTATTTCCATGCACATGCTAGCAAATGTATTTCTTTTCCTTTTAAAAAAAAATGGTATAACATTCTACACAGAGCAGCAACTTGTCTCTTTTAACAATGTATCTTTGCAACAAGCTCTTTAAGAGTGGAAGGATTTACTTTTATGCTACTGTCTTCTTTGATGTAAAAATAGCAACTTTTCAGTAAAGCAAATGACTTTCAGAAAACTTCCACTTGAAATAATCTTCCAGAAATGTCAATGTTAACTTTAATTCATAACTGGAAAGAGGGCTTTTGAAACAAAATAAGGATAGAGATACCAGGGGTAAATTAGAGAAAGAGGGGCTGGGGATATAGCTCAGTGGCATAAGCTCCTGCCTGGCAAGCACAAGGTCGTGAGTTCGATCCCCGGTACCACAAAAAAAAAAAAAAAGAGAGAGAGAGAGAGAGAAAGGGATGTACAACTACACATAATCAGAGTTTGTCATCAGAATTGTATATGGATGCCTGCCTTAAGGGCGGCAGGTTAATATGCCTGTCAATGCTTCCATGAAGTGAGCTTAAATTCAGTAACCTGTGTTGGGGGTAGAACAGTGAAGAGACCTGGGTTGGAATCCTGGCTGTGTCATCAATTAGATGTATGACCTTAGGCAGCAGCTGTGCCCCATCTATGGGCCTCAACACCCGCATCTTTGAAGTAAGAGGACTGGACCGGAGGTGCTGTTCCTTATGATCATCCATAGTGCAATTTGGAAAAAGCAGTATTTTGCCAGGCTGGAGGCTGTATTGAATCCCAAACCTTTCACTAACTTGCATGTAACCTTGAGCAAGACAGCTCCATCAGGCCTTGGTTTGCACATCTGTAACATGAGCAGGCTGGACCAGAGTGTTCTTCCAGATCTTTTCTTTAACTCTCACATTCTAAGACAGTACATTGCAAACTTGAAAGTGCCTACAGTCTTTTGTGGATCTTGTTAAAACGCAGGCTGGTCTAGCAGGTCTGGGTAGACCTTGAAATTCTCACTTCCCAGGTGAGGTTCCACTTTTTGAGTAGGGAGACACTTGGATGTCAGGAAAACTTGCTAAAGACTAGCAAACGGGCAAAAGAGATTCCTAGGAGTCCCTGGGGTGGAGTGCAGGTTGAGGGTTTTGGCTCTGTGGGTGTTTGCATGAGTCACTGACCACTGTACATCTCTTTAAGAAAAGAAGCGCCAGATTAATAGCAGTGGGACAAATTCTGTCTGGTAGGGGCATAACTAAATTCAGACCCGCAGAAAAAAGCAACTCCCAAACATTATTCTTCTTGTCCTACAGGATTATCAATCATTTTGCACAACGAGTAACTTCATTGCAGTATTTGATTGCCCACATACATTTCTTCAAACTCTCCCTTAAACAGGATTTATTTTACCTTTTTTTGAAGAAAAGAAAAAAAAAAAAAAACTTTACAAAAAAAAAAACCTTTTTAAAAACCTTTTAAAACCTTTTTAAAAAACCTTTTTAAAAAGTTGACTTTAACCTTGCTGGTTTGCAGTTCATTGATCATTACAAGCAAGCGCGGCTTGCTGGGTTGGGGGTCGAGGGGAGTTGTTGTTGTTGGGGTTGCATTTACTTTCTCAACTGCCCCTCGGCTTACTGGGTAAGAAAAGCACTTTGCCTGTATAGCACTTTGGTGTTGGCCAGGTAATTCCCTTCCAAGAAATCACAGAACATGGTAAAGACGCCTCCCCCTGTACTAACACTTGGTCCCCTAGAGATCTAGAGGTCAAGGGACCCGCCCGAGCCCAGCGGGTGGTTGCTACCCTGGATTGGAACATGGAGCTTCAGGCACTGCCACAATTGTAGTAACCTCGAGACATATCTCCGGGACTCTATTAAAGGGAGACACGTGGCAAAAGCCCGGGGCAGAAGCGCAGACAGGGGCCTGGCCGGGCTCAGAGCCAGCGCCCAGTCGCCCCGCCCCTTCCAGCCTCGCCCCGCCCCACCTGTCCGTGTCTGCGGTGCCGCTATCAATAAAGTTGTTGTTCTGCCAACATGGCGGCGCCCAGGGAGGCAGGCCTGGCTGTGTCCGCGTAAAGGTTCGGGGAACGAGGAATGCAGGAGCTGCAGGCCAGAGCCTGTGAGCAGGTAAACCCCTGCCAGAGCTCAGCTGGTCGAGAGAAGAGGCCAGACTGATCTCTCCCCTGGCCGGGAGGTCCCGATTTGCTAGGAGCAGAGAGAACGGTGCGGGAAAGAAGAGATGGTCCTGGAACCGTGCAGTTTCAGATCTGGAAGTGTCTGAGGACCTGTCTGTAGGGTCGTTAAGCTTCAGACCCTTTCGCTAGCTCTGGACCCTTTCCCAGAAACTCGCCCATCCTCCCGCGATTCTCTCCTCGCCTTCCCTCTCCCCACCGCTCCTGTCCGCAGTTCATCCGTGGATCGCTGCCCCGCCCCCCATCCCTCTGGGCTCGGGGTTTGGACCCAGTCAGAGGTCATCGGTGGCGTCTTTGGGGCCCCGGGTCATTACCACAGCACATTATGGCCCGAAGATCGCCCCCGGAAACCATCTGGGTCTACTGCCTTGTCTGGCAGAGAGACACGAATTTCAGACAGGAAGTAAGCGGCCTGAGGTCACACAGGGAATTAGTAACTGCAGAACACAAAGTGTGTATTTTAAAAACATTTCTTTAAGACAGATTTCCCCAGGTACATTCTTGCTCTTTATTTTGGGTGTACACAAAAGTTTTGCCTGTCTTTTACTCTGCTAAGTTTCTCTACACATGATCATTTTGGGTCCAATTTTTAGGTCCCTTCGAGTCTCAAAGCCCTTAACCTAAGACCCCAAGTATGATGGAGGTCATGGCTGACTGAAGTGGGCTGGGGTGCTGGGGTTGATGCTGTGGAACAACCCGGAGGGAGACAAAGCTGCAAGCAAGTGAAGGAACTGCATGAGCCCGAGCTAAGGAGTAAAAGGGCCAAGTTGATCATGAATCTGACATGAGCCACACGTCCGCATTCATTTTATTACACAGTCCTCAAATACAGTGGCTGCCCCTTGACATCAGGAAGAGGAAGTGCTTATTAGGGATTTGAAGGAGCTGTACTTGGAGTGGTCTAGAGTAGGGCCTGGGCAGTAAAGGAAGGGAATAGGGCTGAGAGCCAGGAAGTTCTGTAAAAACCACAGCCTTGGGTACAAACTGCTGGTTCCAGAGGTGTCTTCCTGGCCAATGAAAACCTGAAGTTATTTAGTGATTGACTGATGGATTGATCGCAGTGCTGGGGAGGGAATCCAGGGCCTCAAGTATGCTAGGTAGCGTTCTACCGCTGAACTACATCCCCACCAGAGCTTAGAATATATTCTGTGCTTTTTTTTTTTTTTTTTTTTTTTTTTATCTTTTTGAGACAGGGTCTCGATATGCAGTTCAGGCTGCCTTGAGCTCACTGTGTAGCCCAGGCTGGTCTCGAACTCACAACGATCCTCCTGCCTCAGCCTCCGTAGTGCTGGGATTACAGGCGTGCGCCACCACGCCCGGCTTGTTTTGGGTGCTGGGTGTTGAACCCATGCTCTACCACTGAGCCACAACCCTAGTGTCAGACTTTTTTAAAAAGATCTTGACCCATATTACCAGACTGCTCCCGAAAGAGGGGAAATCAATTTACCTTCCCCTAGCAGTATATAAAAATGCATTTCCTTTCATTTAAACAAGTTTTTGCCATATTGTTTTAATTGGTGTTTCTTTGATTAGTTTTAAGGTTGATCTTTTTCACCTATGTAACCATTTGAATCTCTTCTGTCCTGTTTTCCTTCGCTCCCTACCCACTTTCAGTGGTGCTGGGGATTGAACCCAGGTCCTTAAGGAAGGGCTACACCACTGAGCTACACACCCAGCCGTACCTTTGCCCATGTTTAACTTTAGGTTTTGAGTGTTTCTCTTTTCATATGTGAACTGTTTGTAGAGTTGGATAACCTGTTGCTGTAGTAGTTTTCAACTCATTATTTGCTTATCTTGTCCATGATGTTTTGATATACAGATATTTTATTTTTTGAGATTCAGGTTTATTAATATTCCTTTGTGAATCTTCCTGTTGTTTTTTCCTCAGAATAGAACATCTTCTGCCTTGTCAAGATTTATTAATATTTCTCTGTGTTTTCATCTTGTCTTATGATACTTTAAAAACCACTTTTTAATTTTTCTGAAATTGGCCATAGTTTATGATTTGAGGTAAGGTTATAATTTGAAATTTTTCCCTATTCAGTGAATAAACCATCACTTTCTAACCTGCTTGTGCTTTGGTCTTTATGAACTTTAAATTCTTTTTTTTTTTTCTTTGAGACAGGGTCTTGATCTGTAATTCAGGCTGGCCTTGAACTCACTAGCCCAGGCTAGTGCTTGCTTCAGCAGCACATATAGTAGAATTGTAGCCCCAGCTAGTCTCAAACTCATGGTGACTGTCCTGCCTCAGCCTCCCAAGCTCTTAGTGTTAAATTGTTCTATATACCCACATGTGTTTTGGGATTGTCAGTCCATTAGTTTATGCAAAGGAGAGGTTATTAGGGTGTCAGGTATTATGTAAAACTTGTTCTGATGGCGCAGACAGGGGCTGTCGTTATGTAATGTGTAGTATAAATTACAGAGCCACGATTAGCATTTTAAGGGAAACAATGACTGTCTTCATGTTGCTCGTGTTGGTCTGTCCAGGCTTTGGTGTTTCATCCACCCGGGACCTAACCAGCATTGCAGCCCAAAACTTGGCAGATAGCAGTTTGGGTCAGTTGATATTTTTGCAGTTGCTTTTGTTTGCTATTGCTTGTTTCTCTTTCACAGCGTACCCCAGAGCCCTCTTCTTATGTACTTAAGGGAATGCTGCCTAAGAAAGGAATAACGGGGCTCCACCCCTGTGCCTTGTTTTAGACATTCTTAGGCTTGCAGAGGTGTGGAAATGCCAGCTTAGTGAGAGAACCAAAAAGTTTCTGACTCCTAAAGATGGTTGTAGATATACGGAAACCTAAGTCCTAAAAATGAGTGGAATTGCCTTCATGGTACAAAGTGCATCTATATTTGGTTGGTCTTACAGAATTGCTAATATTTAACTAGTTTCTTATAGTTCACTCTAACACCTGTAGGTCACATCCACATAGTTTAAAATAGCCAGGCCTGGGCTGGGGATTTAGCTCAGCGGCAAAGCGCCTGCCTGGCAAGCGCAAGGTCGTGAGTTCGGTTCCTGGTACCGGAGAAAAACCAAAAAATACAAAAACAAAAACAAAACAAAACAAAAATAAAATAGCCAGGCCTAACTGATAGTGAAATGTTTTCTAATCTGACTCTTTTTCCATTCCTAAAAAGGTAAAAGGTGTTAAATGCAATGAGAATTGATATGTCAAAAGATTCAGCAAGTGCTGGGCGTGGTGACATAGGCCTGTAATCCCAGCACTCGGGGTGGTGGGGGGCTGAGGCAGGAGGACCAGCATGTGCTCAAGGACATCCTGGGCTAGTAGTGACTCAAGGCTAGACTGAACTACACGGAAAGACCCTGTCTCAAATAAATAAAGAAAGAAATAGATAGGTAAATAGATAAATAAATAAAAACAAAACCAAAAAAACCCACAACTTTGACAGATTCACTGGTAAATGCCGACACTGGTGACATTTCATGTGAGTGTGAATTGCATTTTTACAAGCCTATAATGTAATGACCTTACTGGGCAATATTTGTGATCCAGTACCTTTGTGAAACAGGCCAAGCCCTAGCGGACGATGGAAAAAATTTTGAGAGAATCAGAATTAACACTGTGTTTAAAGTGTCAGGTTTCTGTTTTCTGGTTTGGTTTTTTTGTTTGTTTGTTTTTGGTTTTTTTGAGACAGGGTCTCGCTCTGTAGCCTAGGCTGGCTTTGAACTCAGGAATCCTGCTGGGTCAGCCTTCTGAGTGCTGGGATTATAGGTGTGTACCACCACACCCAGCATCTGTCTAGTTTTTGAAAGATCTTTTCTCATCTGTTTCTTTACTATAGCACCTTTCCTGTGCTGTCATGCAAGAAGGCAGGGGTTTAGTGTATTTAGTCATGTAGCTTAAATATTTGATGAAATCTCACCTCAGCACTTTCAACAGTGATAGAAAATGGATTTTTTTTCAGTGCAGTCATTTCTGGAATTCATCCGTGGATAAAACCAATGAAGCATTAAAGTTGAATTTTGAATTGCATCTGGATATCTTGGTATCGGTTGTATTCCAGAAAAATATATAGCATTCAGCACTGCTACTTACCTTCATATTTATTTTGTTGACCCTGGGGATTGAATGTAGGGGAACTCTACCACTGAGGTAAATTCCCAGCCCTTTTTATTTTTTATTTTGAGACATGGGCTCACTAAGTTCCCCAGGCTGGACTTGAATTTGCAGTTCTCCTGCCTCAGCTTCCTAAGTGGCTGGGATTATAGGAATGCGCCATCACACGTGGCTTGTTTGTTTCTGACTTGCTTTCCTACTAGTACATAATTGCTCTGAAAGAAAGGATGGGCTTCTTTCTTTCTTTCTTTCTTTCTTTCTTTCTTTCTTTCTTTCTTTCTTTCTTCCCTTCCTTCTTTCCTTTCTTCCTTCCTTCCTTCCTTCCTTCCTTCCTTCCTTCCTTCCCTCCCTCCCTCCCTCCCTCCTCCATTACTGGGGACTGAACTCCTGGCCTTGGGCATGCCGGGCAAGTGCTCCTCCACTGAGCTGCGCCACAGCCCGCACGCAGCTTCTGTTCCCTGCTCCATCCCTTGTGCCTGGGAGTGCGCGGACCTAATGGCACTGCTTGATGCATATTTGGTAAATGAATGAAGTGAAGAATAAGCAGCCTGCTGAGCAGTGGTTGTTTCCCGCCTCAGTCTCCTGGGCCTTTATACCCGTGATCCGAATTGTCCGAGCTCGCGATAGTGCCGAATCTCTGCACCTGCTGTGTTCCCATGCCTTCTGACGTCTGCACCTCGCTGCGTCTGCACCGGGCTGTGCTTAGAGCGCTCCTGAGGCCCCAGAGACCCTGTGAGGCCCCCTGCAGGTGTGGGCTCCCTTTCTTCCCACAGGGGTTTTGTATCTTTGGTGTTTGGGGACACAGCCCACCTTTGTATCTTCTATTGAAGAGATTGTGTGAACTTCCTAAATACTCTTTTCAGGGAAGTGTCCCCAGCGGCAGCAGAGGAGAACGCCGGTAACCGGCAGGGGATGGGCCTTGCTGACCCGAAGGAGAAGTCCGCGAGGGTCCCAGGCCACTTGGCTCTCCAGCCCCCCAGAAGCATGGCATCTGCCTGGCCCCGGCTGCACTTTTGTGCCTCACTTCTCACAAGGCGGCTGTGTGGCAGCCCCAAAGTCACCTTGTGGGCGTGGAAAGTGATTCCAGGATGGACCAGGACTATTTACAGCGCCACGGGCGAGTGGACGAAAGAGTACACAGTGCAGACAAGACAGGCCGTCGAGGACTGGTGGCATCAGCGAATAAAGGAACAGGCCTCCAAAATTTCAGAAGCTGATGTGAGTATGGAAGAGATTCCTGGCGGGCGGAGGTGTGGGGCTAAAGGCTTGGACTTGGTCCGACTGCCCGGGTGCGAGTGAATTAGGAGGGGTGTGACCCCAAACCAAGTTACTGAGTTTCTCTGTGCATCAGTTTTCTCTTGGTTTTTTGAGACAGGGTCTCCCTGTGTAGTTCAAACTGGCCCTGAACTCACTGTGTAGCCCAGGCTGGCTTTGAACTCGTGGTAAGCCTCCTGCCTCAGCCTCCTAAATGCTGGAATTATAGGCATGTACCACCACAGTCAGCATTGTGCTTTGGTTTTCTCCCTAACCCCAGGGTGATGATACTGGTGCCCACCTGTGTGGCAGACAGCGGCTTGCCAGGCCTTCTGGAGCTGTGTTTATTGGGGAAACGCACAAAACAGTGGCGCTGGCGGGTGTGGGCCCCTTAATGGTTCAGCGCAGGGGGGGCAGCAAGTGGAGCCAGCGGGTCCGGGGTGATGCTCCAGGGTGGCATCTCCCCCTTCCTGGGTGTGAGCCTGGCCGTAGCCCTGTTCTGTCGCTTCAGCACCCTGGCTGGCGTGGGAGTGGTACCAACCTTTGCACAGTTTGACCTGGGGTTGGGGTCCCACCCTGCAGTAGCAGCTGTGGATCCCAGTGGCCTGGCTGCTGGGTGGAACGAGCTGCACTGAGCGCTCTGCAGTAGCTGGTTTCCATGGTTTCTGCCCTTCTCTGGGGAGACGCCCCACGGGATCAGCCTCACACATGCACATCCTGACCTCTTGATATTGGTCACTACGCCAAGTGGGAGGTGTGGTCTGTTACACGAGGCATTTGAATAGGCTCAGAGCAACACACTCACTAGAGGGGTTTGAGTTTTCCATTCCCACCCCTCTGTGGCAGTAACGCCGCCGAGGAAGGGAATCTTGAGTTGGGAGAGGCAGCGTCTGTAGCAAAGAAACTGGAACGATGAACGCTGTGTAATTTTACTTTGAAAGCTTGACTCTCACCCGATTACGAGTGGAAAGCCGCGTGTCACCGTGACCAGAGTAACATGACTAAGTGTACTTTGGAAATAGGCTGTGGGGAGCGGTGTAATTCTGAGTGGGCAAGTAAAATTCGCTTCGTTTTTTTTTCCCCTTTCAGTTCATATTGTCGTTCATGACTCTGAAACATTTCAAAGCTGTAGCTCAGGATTTTGTGACATCTCGTTCACCTTGAGCATATAGTTTTTAAAAAAATAGCGAGTGGAGGGCAATGAGTGTTTCAGTGACCGGGGGAAGGCGGGGGCGGCGTAGGCGATGCTGGGGGTCAGGGTTTGGATTGGGAAGGGCCAAGTGGACAGAGCGCTCTGGAGGGACCAGGCCTGGCCTGCGACACTGCTGCGCCCCGAACCCGTGTGCTCCAGGCCCCTTATCCGCCGGGGTGCTCAGGCTCCCTGTGTTGTTTATCTCCCAGACTTGTTTTGAAATCAAATGAGAAAGTGCGGCTGAACACGTTTCACAAGCTGAAGTGTTACATAAGTAGAAGGTAGACGCAGATGGAAACGTGTGTCTGTCATAGACTGAGACCCTGACCGAGTGCCGGTGGCTCTGGAGCGTGTGCGGCCGAGCTCGCTCCGGTATGAGGGAAGTTGGAAGTCCTCCCACCACCCAAATGAGGTGCTGTTTATTTCCAGATGTGTTTTTAGAAGTCAGACGTCTTGCCATTGTCACCTTTTTTTTGTTTTTTCCCCAGTACTGGGGCTTGAACCACAACTAGGCAAGCACCCTGCTACCAGTGAGCTCCATCCTCTGCCCTGTTACAATTTTTATTCTGAGTCTTGCTAAGTTTCCCGGGCTGGCTCGAACTCACAGTCCTCTAGCCTCTGCCTCCTGATTAGCTGCAATCACAGGCGTGTGCTGCCACACTTAGCCATAATCAACATTTAATGAGCATTTTATTCTATGCCAGGGATCTTTCACTTGATTACCTCCTTTGACCCTGAAATTAATCCAGCTCTTTCTGGCAGCAGGTAGCAACACCTCCAAGCCAGGCCCCAGGTTAGGGACCAGTGAGGGTGCGGACAGGCACCCCACTCTGTCCCCAGGCCCCTGGCTGGTCAGGAAGTACCCAAGGGGGACCTTCCTACGCTCGGCCCTCACTGGCTGGGTAGGGACTCCCTTGCCCAGAGAGTGGTGTCCTGTCCCTCGCACCCCACCGCCTGTGGGCCTTGTGGCTTTGGGAGGTGGGAGTCCCTCCGGCATGACCACCCTGCAGGCCGCTGCTGGCTGACACAGGGTCTCTGCCCTCTCCCCAGCGTCCTCTAGGGCCAGACAGACCAGAGTGCTGGCAGAGTAGGGGCTCAGCGTGCAGGGCCCAGGTAACTCTGGCCCAAGTTGCCAGTGTCATGGCTGGTCAGCAGCCTTTGTTGGTGCCCACAGCTGGTGACCGTGAAGGCAGACACCCCCAGGGCCCGCCACGAGGACCGGGGTTATTGTCCTCGTTTGGGGAAGAAGACAGCCACGCCTCGAGGGAGGTTTGGGGATTTGGCAAGAAGATGTCTAGCCAGTGGTGGTGGAGCCAGGATCCTTCTTCGCCTGGCTTCTGGCTAAGAGTACAGACAGCCCGCAAGGCCCCGGAATTTGCCCGCGGCCTCTGCTGGTGAGCTGCTGCACCCCGTGCGGCTGTGACCCCGGGTCCTGGCCCTCCAGGGTCAGCCACAGCGTTGGAGCGTGACCCAGAAAGAGGCAGAGGTCAGGACTGTATTCTTCTCAAGATGGCAAAGATAATAGGACCCACTTAGAAAAGCCATCCTCTCCCATCACTTACAATCTTAATTTCTCTTAAAGGCTGAAAGTCTTACACTTTTATGTAATTACAGAAATTTCTCTTTCAGTCAGGTTCCTGCTCAATTATAACATAAAGTCCCATAATGTCTTCTCTCCTTTCCACCCCCACATGATGGAACTCATTTCATTGTCATAGAGGAAAGTGACTTAATTCACACAGAAAATTAAAAGGCAGGAGCAGGCTGTCAGCTGAATACATTTTCTGCAATAAACAAAAATGTTCATGAATATTAAAGACTTTTGGTAGCAGTACTTTTCTGTGTCTCTTTTGTAAGCCCAGGTTTGGGGTTTGGCTTAGGTAAAATAGAGTGAATCGTTTGATTTTGCTGTTTAATCTTCACTGAACAAACTTGCAAAAAGGCGCTGAGAGGAAGGAGGCTGTAACGTGGAGAATGTTTGGGGCAAGATGCTGAATACGCAGAGTGTAGTAAAATAAACATTACTGCGATAGAATAAGGCGATTATAATAAAAGAAAAATGTTCCATGTAAAAACTTTAAAATGAGAAACTAGAAATAACGTATGTCAAAGATGTCACTGTTTGTCTGGTGCCCAAAGAGCTCTCACAAGGCGTCTTCCCACCTCCCTGAACGTTCCCCAGGAAGAAGCAGGAGTCCCGAGCCATCGCAGGGAGGGGAGGGTATTGACACCGTGGTTGGTCTTCTTAATTTCAGTTTTGCGCTCAACGAAAGATCGAGCTGTCACACCTGCTTCTGGGCCTGTTCACAAGCTGAGAAGACTCCTGTCCTCCTGTCCTTCTGTCTTTCTGCCTGGTGCATTTTGTTTTTCTTCTCGGGGCTGTGTGGACTCTGGAGCTGCATCTGTGCCCTGGCCTCCCTGGGCCGTCCCCACGGACTCTCGCCTCCTGCATCTCAGGACCTGTGTCACACCCGGGAGGTTTTCCTAGGAGTTTTGCATTTGTAATTTCTAAGTAAAGGGCGCACGACCAGTGTCCCGCCTGCCTCCCTGTGGGTGTGGATCATGTAGTTGCCGCTCCCTGGGCCTCAGAGACTTTGTGAGTTTTTGTTGCCTCCAGATCCCTCCTGTATTCCCTCTCCCTCCCTCCTGCAGCGTCACTTACCTTGGCCGTTTCCCGGAGATGGACTGTACGGAGAAAAGTCCCACTCTAGATTTTTTTTTTTGTACCACTTGATAGTGGATCTGCTATGGGTTTGTTTAACATCTTTGCTAAAAGAAGGTTCGGAGCTTGACAAGAATCTGATTTTTGATTCCTTCTCCCCTGATTGCAATTGCTCTGTCCGTTATCAGTCTTGCAAATATCTCACACACGCACACACAAGGCACATTCTGAATCTTCTGCTAGCATTTGTTTTCATTGCTTTGGGAGAAACAAAGCCTTACAGAAGTCCCATAAAGCCCCGGAAAGGGAGTACAGACAGCCGCAGAGCAGAAGGCAGGCATAAGTCAAACAGCGCTAACTGCAGCTGGTCCCACGGTCAGTGACCAACAAAAACTGTTCCCTGGGGTCCTTCCTTCAGAGCACCTCTACGCACATGCACACTCACTACCTGTGCGTGGAAGAACTTGCACAGTCCGGTAAGAGGAACCCCCACTCCCAGTTACCCGGAGAGGATTTGTGGACTTGGCTAGGGAAGGTGCTTCTCGGTAAAAAGTGCTCCCACAGAGGCTGACAAAGTTATCCAACAGTTACCAAACCCCTGTTGGGGGTGGCATGGAGAGTGATGATTAAAACACGGTCCTCAGCGTTAGGATAGCTCAGAGGTAGAGCCCTTGCTTAGCGTGTGGAAGGCCGTAGGTTCAATCTCCAGCACTGCGAACTGAACCTAACCACAGCCCCCGAGCATGAACAGTGGGTCCCCAGTGAAGAGTCAGCTCAGCGACTGCCACCTTTCCTTTGGAGCCTTCTGTCCCACGCACACGCTGTCAGTGACGTTCACTGTTTTACTGGGGGAGTAGCAGAGGGACCAAGAGCCAGCGACCCAGTGCGGACTTCTTGCCCCAGATCCATTTGCCCGGACACACTGCAGTCCTGTGAGATGCTGCTTTGCAACTCCAATCTGTATTTGCCTACCTGTCGCCCTGGGAAACAACCGCCTCTTACTTCTGTTGGTTAAGACTTTGCTTGTGGCATTCCCTCGTCAGCTTTATCTGCTGAAAGAGAAGCTCGTAATGTAGTAAGGAACCCAGGGCCCAAACAGGTACCTTGGAGTCCTGCTCTTCCTCTGGGGTTTCAGTCTGAACGCAGCTGTGGGCACCTTAGGAAGGGGGCCCGCCTTCGGTGACGTCACAGCTGGGTAATTCAGCTGCCGCTTCCTTGAGTGCGTGGACGTATGTGTTTGAGCTTCACTTGGAAAAAGTTCTTCAAGACCTACATAGATGCTGACTTCAAAGAGAAGCTTTTAAAAGGGAAAAATTGTTAACGATAAACACGGGTAACTTGGAGGTCCGTTGGCGTTACTGCGGATGTTCTTTCACTTAAACCAGGGCTTTGCATTTTGTTTTTTTTATCATTTTTGTCCATTTATATAATAAGGATGGTTTTTGAAAAGGAAACTTTTACAATGTTAAATGATTACCTTGAGTAAAGTACCAAGTACTAGTGCACACAGAGTTCTTAGACCGTGTTCGATAAAGACCCACTGTCATTCTTTCCTAGAAATCAAAGCCCAAGTTCTACCTGCTTTCCATGTTCCCCTACCCTTCGGGCAAGCTGCACATGGGCCACGTGCGTGTTTACACCATCAGCGACACCATCGCTCACTTCCAGAGGATGCGAGGGATGCAGGTAAGGAAGGTGCCTGCTGCCCTGCGCGGGGCAGGACTGTCACCGCTTGTGTGCAGGACGAAGGAAGGCAGCCAGCTGCAGCTCCGGCGAGCATGACTCTGAGGCTGAGTAGGAGATGCCGGGAAGACATGCAGATGAAGCTGCTAGATTAGTGAGGGGTCCCCACTGTCGAGTGTTAGCTGGGGACGGGGCGGGGTGGAGCACAGGGGAAGGCAGCTACACATGGGGTGCCACTCATCTCTAATTCTTGATAAAGAATTTTTTTCCAGAAAGATAAGTGCACCTTTGATCATACGTGGTTTGAGATTTTTACTGAACTGATGCTGGCAGCATGAGGCATTCTTTGAAAGGAGTCTGTGTTGTCTCTGTCACTTGAAGAGTTAATGAGCTCCTGAGCCGACTCCAAGACTGGCGTTCTGCTTCATGCTCAGAGATGTACGTGTCTACACCTTGGTTTGTGTCTCATGTTCTTTCCCCAGACACTGATTTTTGTTATTTCTGCTGTGTTTACTAGAAAGAGGCCAGACTGGACGCACTGGCTGTTTGCCTAAAGTGGAATTTTTAAATTTTTCTCCCTCTCTTTTTTTTTGTATTGCATGGAGGACCTTTCCCATGCCAGCAAAGTGTTCTATCCCCAAGCTGCAGTTAGTTCCTTAACTGACCATGATTCTTCAACTAGATTTATATGTTTGTTTTTTCTTACGCCGGTTTATTTGGAACAGCCAGTGAGAGCAGGCAGATTGTGGAAGATAAAGCACTCATGGCAAAACTGTACATGTGTGATGGGGGTGGGGAGCTGGGTGTGATGGGACTTGGATTTGCTTGCTGTTGGTTAGGGTGAGATGTTCCGGGGGAAGCTCGTAACACAGCCCCAGGGGCCTGGGGGACTGGGCCCTGGCAGGTGGCCGATGCGGAGAGACACGGGGGCCTTCCTACCCCGGCTGAAGCCCAAGGGCAGCTGGAGCCAAGAATTAGACCCCCTTGGTTTGAGCCCTGCTCTACCACCTTCTAAGCGCATTCAGTGTCTCTGAATCCAAAAGATGGGCTGGGGATGTATCTCAGTGGTGGAGCAGTTGCGAGAGAGAGAGAGAGGGAGAGGGAGGAAGGCAGAGAGAGGAGGGGAGAGAAGGAGAGATAGGAGGGGAGAGAAGGAGAGATAGGAGGGGAGAGAGGGAGAGAGAGGAGGGGAGGGAGGGGGCTAGCAATAATCCATCCCTGTAGGTGCTGTGGCGAGGGTTAGTGAGACGTAATAATCCCTTACTAATGGAGAGCTGTAATTATTATTTATACTGATGGGATTTTCCCAAGCTGCTCAGGAAAGTGTTTGCCTTTGATAAGTGAATCCCTGCAATCCCTGCTCGGATCCCTGCACCCTTAGCCCGAGGAGCAGGGGCCACCCGGCCCCACCCACCCCTCCCACCTCTGTGTCCATGGGCTCTGCGGCTCTGCCTGGGCTCCACGCGTGGTTTAAGTGACCATAGGCAGCGGCACTGTCCCTTTTGTTCCTCAATCACTTGCTCTGTTCAGGACTGCAGGCTGTCTTTTTGGGGGGGTGTCCTTGAGGTGACTCTTGCATCTTGACGTCTTCCTCCCAATTTCCTCCACAAGTTTTTCTCTGCACTCCATCTTTGTGTTTGTTTGTTTGTCTGAGACAGGGTAACTTAGGCTGGCTTTGAACTCATTATGTAGCCCAGGCTGGCCTCAAACACAGAGTGATCGTCCTGCCTCAGCCACCCAAGTGCTGGGATGATGGGTACGCACCACCATGCCCTGGCATTTTTGCCTGCTCTGTCGGTTGAGGAACTTCTCCCTTATTCCTGGCTTGCTAAGAATTTTTACCATGAATGGGTGATTGTATTTTGTCAAATGCTTTTTCTGTTATCTTATCGAGATGGTACATGACTTCCTCCTTCAATCTGTTAATGTGTATATTATGTTATTGGGGATTTTTTAAAACAACTTTGCATTCCTGAGACAAATTCCATTTTTTCGTGATTAAAAAAGTATATATCTCTGTATTCAATTTGTCAACACCCCCCATACTGATCTGTCACTTTATTTTCTTCTAATATATTTTGTTTTTCGGTACCAGGAATCGAACTCAGGACCTTGCTCTTGCCCAGCAGGTACTTGTGCTGCTGAGCTGTATCCCCAGCCCTGTGTAGAGTTTTATAATTGCAAATTGTTTCCCTCATGAATATAGGGTTATTTGTATTCTCCATTTGTTTCTGTGTCTGTTTGTTTTGTAGCACTGGAGACTGAATCCATGGCTTTCTCACTGAGCTACATCCCTAGCCCCTTTTATTTTTGATTTAGAGACAGGGTCTAAATGTCTGAGTTGCCCCAGTGAGCTCAAACCTGCAATCCTCCTGCCTCAGCCTCCCAGAGTGCTGGGATTTCAGGCGTGTGCCACCACACCCAGCTTCCATGTCCATTGTAAGAAGTTGTGTTTTCCAAGCAACTTGCTCACCGCACCTCTGATTTTGTTCAGGACTGTCTCCTCGCTTTCTCTCCCTACTTTCCCTGTGTGGTCTCACCTGCCCCCCACTTTATTGTAAATACATAGTACTTTTAAAAATTACGTACCTTTCCGACCTAGAAGGACACAGGCGAGCAGATACTCAGAACTACTATCCTGGAATGTCGTATAGCACTCTTTAACCCAGTGAGCCTCAACCCTTAAACCGAAAAAACTGTGATAGATTCAGTTGCCCTTCTACAGTCATATTCTCTTCCTTCAGTTCAAAATAATCAGTAATCACTATCCTGAGGCTAGTGTCTATTCTCTGCTGTCATGTTCTCCCTCTCTTTCTCTGTTTTGTTTTGTTTTATTTTGAGATAAGACCTCATACAGTGCAGCGTGGCCTTGAACTCACTGTGCAGCCCACGCTAGCCTCAAACTTGTGATCCTCCTTCCTCAGCTTCCCTTGTGCTCAGATTACAGATGTAAATCACCATGCCCAGCTTTTTGCCTTCATGTTTCCATGCTTTTACTCTGTATATTGTTTATTTATTTATTTTTTTTAGCTTTTTTTTTTTTTTTCCAGTACCAGGAATCGAACTCACAACCTTGCGCTTGCCAGGCAGGTGCTATACCGCTGAGCTAAATCCCCAGCCCCTACTCTGTATATTGTTTAAGGACACGAATACATATATGTCTATGTAATTCTGTGTGTTTTTAAGTTTATATAAAAGATATCATATTAATGTTCTGCATATAATTTTAGTCAGTATTTTGTTTCAGGATTCATCCTTTCGGTGGCTCTAGAGTTCCTCCATCCATTATAGCTGCTGGGTAATCATGGCACTATTGGATGACCCACTTTCACATCGATAGACTTCCTGAAACAGTTTCCAAATTTGTGCAGCAGGGAGCAGCACCCTCGTGCCTGGCCCAGCAGCCTGCAGCAGAAGTGGGCTTGCTTGTGCCCGGGCACGGCCCTGATACCTCTCATCACATCTTCCAGAGTTGGTGTGATCTCTGCTCGCCCTGCCATGGTGACGTTTCTCACTTCCTGCGTCCTTGACAAGAATCGGTAGTGTTGAACTTTCTCATCGTGCTGTTTGACACATGGGAATTGTACTGCCTTATGTGCCCGGGATCAGACCTGGGGCCGGCACAAGCCAAGAGTGCACTTTAACCCTAGCTACACCCCGGACCCCGGGCCTGGTTTTAATTTATATTTTCCTGGTTATCCCAGCGAGCCTGAGGTATTCACGCAGCCCCTTCTCTGACCGGCTTGCTTGCGTTGCTTCTTCTCCAAGCTCCTCTTTCTTGCGTGGTTTGTCTTCCTGTTGCCCTTTGGAGTAGTTCTTTTACATAGTCCAGGTTATCGATGCTTCACTGATTGGATACAGTGTAAAATCTTCTCCCTGGCTGTTTCGTCTGTGCGTTTGTGAGACTGGCGAGGCTGTGGGTGTCGCTGGGCTTTGAGCACAGGCGACGGTGGTGACGCAGAAAGTTCAAGTTACCTTTCACTTCCGTTTCCTCCCGTAGCCACAAGCAGGCTGTGCTGAGGACAGCAATGGGATGAGTGCAGGCGGGTCCCAAAGGGCCTCTTGTCCTCCCCGTAGCTGGTGGAAACGTGCCTGAGAACCGTGACATCACACCTCCTCGGTGGAAGATGTGTCCCCACCCGCCCCTCAGCCAGGAGAGAAGGCACACCTGGCTGCGCTGGGGTCCTACAGGCCCAGATCCCAGCCCTTGACATTTTTACTGTGTGGGCAGTAGGCAATCTCTCTCTATCTACGCAGTGCCCAGGAGGTCCCTTTGTGCCTTTCCCAGGTGGCGTCCCCAGGGCTGAGCTCTAGCACCATTAAACTGCAACCTGCACACCAGCTGTGCACTGATGTTACTGTTCCAAGGCAGTTCAGAGGTGCTCAGCACTTCAACCTCCATCCGTCCTCTGCTCCGACAGTGCGCCTGGATGGTGAGATCATCAAAATGTTTGTATTCAGGGAAGTAAAAATGTGAAAACCATCAGGGAAGACAGCAGACATACGGAATCGTGGAAACCGTCGCCCAGTACATAAAGTTGTTGCCACTAAGGGTGGTACCCAAGCATCAGTGCTGTTTAAGCCCCCCGTGCTCCCGAGTCTCCTGAGTTCACAACCCGAGACTAGGTACAGTTGGTCTCGGTGCAAAACCCTCCTCCTCACCTCGGTGGGCTTTACCCACGAGTCTCCTTCCTGGAGTCCCTCACTGTCCTCGGTAAGGAAGTCCTTGTCTTCCTTCAAGGTCCACTCAATTCATGAACTCATCCCTCATGCTGCAGCCCACAGTTACCAAGAAACACTTTTAACACTTAGGAGTCAAACTAAGCTAAGTCTGCAGGTCCTCCTTTTTTTCATCTGCCCAATATATAAGCTTCTCAGCGGTAAGGAAGGTCTGTCTGTGATGGCTGAGGTGGATCGTTGCCTTGATTAGTTTTGGGTTCTGCCCAGGGGATTAGTAAAGCACACTTCTGAGTGTGTCAGTGTGGGTCATGGAAGCATGCCCT